GATAATTAACAATTAAATATGTATAATTATTATGAAGCCAAGCTTTAGCCATCTGGTAATGTTAGTACATCTGCCAAAAAAGTTTGGTATACATAAACCAGATGTCAATTAGAGTATTTTTATTGTAATTTCCAGGTGTTTAATTATCCTTTATCATAATACCATATACTAATATATTCACTCATCTCAATAAGTTCAAGCTTCAACATAGAAGCTTTGTAACATTATGTCATATCTTTCTGCCACAAGAGTTCACTAACATAAACCAGATGCTAATTGCATTTTGTTTATTAATTCTAAACCTTCAAACACTTGGTAACACTCTGGCCATCTGCAAATAAGTTCATAAAATTTAAAATGATCAAGTGTTATGACACAGATCCAAACAAATCAGTTTTTGCTCATACAGATTACTTCCGTACGTACACAAATTTAAAGCTCTAATGTAAAAAATATAAATTAAATCAGTTCTATTCTTTATATTTACGTTTATATTTTTCATTTAATCACTGTTCATTTTACCTGTCCGGTGGGGGGACTTAAGCCCCCATTCCCCCGCTGGTGCCGCCAATGCTTTCTAGTCCCTGGAGTTCAATCGGAGGATCGCTTGCTTTCTAAAAATATTAGGCCTACTAGGCCTATTATAAAACTAAATATAGCATAGCGACCTAATTTAGACTCTACCAAATCAAAACTGCGGATTTTTCCAGGGGCTTTTATCCCTGCTGCACCCTAACCGGGGAATTTTTTCGGTTTGACTCCAGACTGAACTCACTTCACTTTAGTCTGCATTAGTTTCTCCATCACTCTCAAACATGCCAACACCTACATCAACATCATTACCGTTCATCATCATTGTCGATGTCATCGCCATCGACATCATCATCGTCATCATTATTGTCATCGTAGTCATTATCACCTTCATCATAACCGTCATTGTTATCATCATAACCGTCATTGTTATCATCATCCCCTCATCATAATTATGATCATCATTAATTCACATTTTTTTCTGGGCATCACAGTAAACAAGGTTTAAAGATGTATTGTCTCTTGAAAATGACAGAAAATCATAAAAATAATTTTGAAATTAACTTGTTCATTTTTGCAGTAGCATACACATTTTTAACTTGAGCAAAGAAATTATTGAATTTCAAAAATGTGTACCCTGATTTTTAAACAGGATAATTATAATAAAAATAATAAAACACTTCCATGGACTGGAAGTGTTTCTATCATTTTTCTTTGTAAAATGACGGGTAAACTTTTTTTAAATACACTAATGTTTATGTTCAAGTTGATAATTTTTTTGTTACTTAAAAATTGGCAAGTTAATTTCAAAAATGATTCAGCGGCATTGTGCTTCTCTCCACTCACTAACAGGAACACCCTAATGTTAGTACTCTGTTATTTATTTATTACCAGGGTACTGTAGATCGCTCCATGGAAGTATACGTGCATGGTCTGTCTGCATGAATATACAGAAGGTTGACTAAAATTAATGTGTAATCGGTATAAGGCCTACCAGAAGCAAACACAGCACATAACTTTTTTTTTTTTTACAATTCTAGTGATAGTATATAACTTCTAGAGCGTGATCAATAACTTATTAATGTTCCAGGCTGAACTTTGGAAGAAAATTTAATTAAAATTGTACGAGTAGTATGTTTGTAACATGTAGGCTGCAGGTCGATTTGTGTGGCAAATATTATCTTGTGTGTTATCTATTGCATATTGTGTATATTTCATAGCTGAATACACTCCACATCGTGTAAATACAATTACAGTATGTTATAGTCATTTTTGGTTTATGCATTATATATGTAGGCCCTATTCATGTTTCTTCTTCTTCTGGAGGAATAAGCAACTCAATTTATCTACATGGCAATGATAAGAAATTAAATTTTTAACAATATTATTTTCTACAGCTTTACCAGCTGCTATTTCATGGCATCCAGAGGTGCCATATTTCCAACATAGACTCTCATCCATGCTAACTTTATATACTATGGCAGCCCCTTGAGGGGAATGGAAAGCGGCTCTAGGTTGCCAGCATCTATTTCCGGACATTCATAGGCAGCACACAAGCTGTTTACCAACCATTGTGGGGCTAGAGTTGATATGATAATTGTGCTCTCAGACCTCAACTAACTTCCAAATCCTGTAGCTGTGGATAGAGATAGCAGGTCTCCACTCTTCATTTACTACCAAATTTGTCAAGTGCTCATACTACCACCCACCCCTGCACCACCCCCTCACTATAATGGCCAGACTACTTGTATTTTGCCTTCGTTTTGTTTTGTATTTAGCTCTACCCCGGTATCGAGCACTTTAATCCATGTCTCTTATACACATCT